TGTGGCATTTAGGATTTAGCCGGGAGGCTATCTAAAGCTTGGTCATTACTTGTTTTACATATTAGATAAGTTTTAATGGAATTTAGCCATCGAGACTTTTGTTTTCAAGTTAAGCCGGTAAGATTCTTTGAACTTTACAATTTCATGTTTGTTGAGTTGCACGCCAAGAACGTTCAAGTGGAATTCATCATCCTATCTTGTGGAGTGTTCGACTCTTGGGCCAAGGACGTGTTCTTTGTCTTAAGAGCTTTGATCTTAAGGCAATTCATGTCTAACCTAAACCTTAAGGTTGAAATCGAATCGATTTGGGGTTTAGTGTTTGTGAATTAGGGGGGTTCATATACCCAAAAAGTTCCTCGTTCCAAAATCGCCAGGGTTTTCATATCAGGAAGTGCAAGACTTGCATAACATGAACATCTGAAAGGTGTCTAGCGTCTTCAGCAGCATATAAGGGACATGGAACGCACATGATATTGCAAAAGTCACAACAACAACAATAATAATAAAGAAAAAAAAAACTAGAGCAGCAGATCTAGGGTAGAAGATCCATTTGTCATCAACATTAGCTAAATCACTTAGAGAAGAAGGCACTAGTTTTAACAACTGTGTAATAAGGTATATCATATCATAAAAATTAAAGATTGATCCTTAAGCAGCAAAAACGTCGTCTCTTAGCAACTTTCTCCCTTTTACTAGTACCTTTTCCCATGTGCTAGAGAGCATAATTGATGTCACACACAAGAACCATAGCATAAACAATTTAAATGGCCAAAAGACAAGGAGTCGTAAAGATACCAGTGGTAGTTTTGACACAACATAGAGGAATCAGCAACACTGGTGTGGTTAAGAATCACGAGTCAAGTCATCTGAATCTGAATCACTTGCATTATAACCTACCAGATTCAAGATATTTATAAATGTTATACAATATTAGCAAAAGAAGTTAACAGTTAAAAGATTTGATAACTTTTTAAAGAAAAAATGGCAGTCAACCTGGATGTTTATCACTAACTTTCCAAACCGACGATCGACTTCTTGATGCTTTTGTCATCCAAATTCTTCCCTAGAGTCCAAATAAACAAATAATCTTTTTAGTTACAGATCCTTAGAGAGAAAGAAACAATGGACTATGAAAAGTTAGGGGGAGAGGAACCATAGATGCAACCATAAAATTCCATTTAAGACAATAGGGCTTTAACAAACAAAAACAAAATTTGAATTGATTAATCTTAAGACATCAAGAAATGTTCCAATCTCCTCAAACTCAAAGTTATAACAAATTAGTAAACTATAGAAAAGAAAACGGCCAGAGTACATTAAGAACTATTTTTAGCCGGAGCACAACGGAATTTACAATATTTACGAAAATACGGTTGACCAATAATACCCAAACAGCACAGAAGTCTATATAAGCGCAAGAATTTCGAAAAGGTATGTAATTGAGCATGGTCTTCTAGTTCTTTATTTCTTCAAAACTGTGAGGAATTGAGCAATAAGATCTCTATTTACTGATAGGGAAGAAATTGACCTTCTGAGCATCTCTTGGAACCCCATAACCGCTATAGTACATTTGACCCACCAAGACCTGCATATTGATGTCCCCGGCTTTGGCCTCCTTCAGAGTGTCTTTAAACCATCGTTTGACGCAATCCGAAACAACTTCTGATAAAGGAACGCGACTCAGGCCCTCTGTCCCTCCGCTAATCTCCATCACTTGCAACTTCAACGGCTTCGATTGCTCGCCCGAAGCCTCGACTTTTAAGATTTCGCGAGATTGTGAGGCGCCGCAACGCTTTTCTACAGAACCGCAATCGAATTCATCAAAACGGATAACAAATTGAGAAAAATTAACTCGTCTTCGAAGGGTTTGATGTAATAATTTGACAACGGAATCGGTTTTGCTTACCTCCTTTCTTGCTGGTACGAAAATCGTTGTCCTCTTGCTGGTTAAGAGAGAGAGAAACCCAGAGAAAAAAGGTCGAGCGTTTGGAAGATTTTGAAAATTAAGAAGGATATACTGATGACAAGTGAAGAAGGGGACGGGGGGGCTTGTTAATTGTAAAAGGGTATCTGCTGCAACGTCGCCGTTTAGTGGGAAAGCGGCCGCGCCTGCTGCCTATGTTCTGTTCAGCATAAGGCCATTCAAAATACGTTTATATTACAATCAATTTATTACTTTGGCTGTACTAAAAAAAAAAAAAATTTATTACTTTGGTTTTTTACTAACAAAAATATTAACAATAATAATATGTTACTTTTTTTTTAATACGTGGATTGTTACTTTGTTTTGATTATTGACAATTTTTCTCTACATATTTTGGTTTAAACTTCCTTTTTTCCCAGACTTTCTGAAATTATTTTTTATTTGATAAATCTTTTGTCCAAGTGCGTGTGTGTATATATATAGTAATTACGACTGTAATATATTTTTATAAAATATTTGTAAACATCAAGTTTTTAAAAATTATTGATCCTGGTTTTGTTTAACTATCTATGATAATAGGAAGTCATTTTACGGAACAAATCAATTTACCAATTGTTCCGTTTTCTTTAATCATCCACTAATTTTAATAAAAACCAATGTAGAAATTGACCCTTGAAGGATAACTCACCAATTAAAAATGTGACATATTCAAATAGATATTCCAATCATTTAAGTTAATTTGTAATTTGATGAAGTTGCAAATGATACCCTTTGTAAAAGTTAGGTAAAAATGGGTCTTTTTCCCTCCATTTGATATGACAGCCAACTTTTTTTTTTCTTTGTTGGGAACAATATGACAGCCAATTAATTATTGTATGGTTTTAATAGGTAATTGTTATACCGGCGTTACTCGGTTAAGCTTACTGCATTCCATAAACTATAAATTAATATATTTATAGTTCAATCATTGCTAAATCTATGTTTATAGTACTTGTATGTATACGTATGTATCTTGTATATAAATAATTTTAGTTCAATAGGTAAGAGTTAACCCTCGACATTTTGATAGAAATTATAATGCATACTAATTGAGTTACATTTAAATCTGTAGTAATCGTATTAATCATTTATATTATTTAATACTTATTTATTTTATATCTAATAATTTATTACATAACACGTTTGAAACAAATTATTTATGTGTTGACTTCTAACTATCTATTTGGTAACGTTATCATTTGTTATTTTTGTTCTCTATTTCTTTAATAAAGAAAAATAGAATTGCATGGCCCTGACACACTTTCATGTAAGAATGCTAAAACGGGATTTGTATTTATGTTGAATAAATCAAAAATAAAAAACTTATTTTAGTCGTTTCCAAAGTTTATATAGAGTTTTTAGAATGTTTATAAAATATGGTAAACAATAAACATAAATAATTTTCATATTTTTAATAAAATTAGAAACGATGAACAATAAACAGAATATTAGGCCCTAAATTAGTTTGAATGACTATATGCCCCTATATATATTTTGTGTGAATTTTAAGTATATAGGTAAGATAGAGTAGTTTTATGTTGTGACTTCAACTAGGTACAAATTATCTTAACTCACTTATTTTCTACTCGACCGTGTAGGTTAGGTCATGTTAATAATAGTCAATGCCTCAACGGTTATTGACATCTAGTACCTTAGTTCAATGATTCTTGACACCTATTCTCTATGAGTTCGAATCTTCCATTCTAAAATTTATTGTACTAAAAAAAGAATAAAATCGTTTAGGAACATATTTAAAAGAATTTTAAAGTCAAAGATATAGATGAAATAAATAAAATACGAATATGAATAAAAGTAACTTTAAATTGTCAAAGCGAGCAACTCAACAGTAATTAGCATATATCTATAACAAAGATACTGTGAGTTCGATCTCCCATCCGACTCCATATGTTGTACTAGAAAACCTAATATTAAATTGAAGACATTTGGAATAAAAATATTTATTGCCCTGAATTTTCCATTTATGATTAAAACATGTGGGCACTAAAGGTACTAAAAAAAAAGGGTGAACATTAAAGAAACAAAACATACAGAAATACTCCGTCCGTCTCCTTCCATTTTTTAATTAGTTTTGCCTCTTTTCTTCAACTTTCGAAACTGCCCTGCCAACCAAGCAACCTCATACGCTATACGCATATTATGTTACATCCTCTCCCACACCCGCAATCGGGTTGTTTCGATTGTTTTGATCAGAACCGTTCGATAAAGAAAGTGGGAACCATTGATTGCCACGCAGACGTGACACGTCGCGATCTTATTTATCAATACCATAAGCACGAAACACCAGTTTATAGCCCGTGTCTCTTCACTGCTTCACTATCGTCTCTCTCTCCAGCGTCGCAGTGAGAAGACGCACTCGTTGTAGAATAGAAGGAACGCCTCATTTCGCGCTCTGTTTTGAGTTTTCGCGGCGGATGACTCCTCGAAGTAAAGCGCAGTCGCTTGGTACGTTTCTCCCTCACGATTGCGAGAGAGTGAAAGGAAACTTCATCGCTTGATGAATCTCATTTCAACATTTTGTGGAAGGAAGAGTGAGTAGATATTGAGAACTCTACCTGAATCCGTCGCTGTGAAATTTTGCTTTGTTCCGACGGCGAGACATTCATTTGAATCGGTCGCCTCAAGAGAAAGGTAATTGTTCAGATAGCGAGAGTCTCGTATGATTCGGTGGTTTAGATTGAGAATGCTTGACATTGTTATCGTTTAAAAGCAGTAGAAGCTCTGGATTTATGGTTTCAGGCTCTTAGCGCTTAAAAACCTAGCGGCAATCGAAGTGCGCATATTCTTATTATCGTACTTGTTCAATAGTCTGGTTACCCGAGTAATGCTCGCAGATTTGTTGCCAGACGATAAGAATCATTAGCGAAGTTTGCTACTCATTTTAACACGCACATTCGAAATGTATTATTAGTAACCTGTTGTTATTAGTTAGACAATCACGATAATTTAAATATTTTGTTCGGACGAATTGTAATTTGCATTTCACTCTAGGATCGTGTCTGAAATGCATCGTGTTTGAAGATGCGATAATATCTTGAAAGATAATATGCTTTTACTCTGCTGCGCTATGATATGCAAATTTTGTCTATATGCTTTGCCTTTTGGAATCATGTCACGAGACCTTTCTTAAGTACTCTCGTACTGTCATGTTCTGAAGGTACGCCAATTTCTCATTAGGTTCTGTTAGTGTCGTTATTTGCATCAATTTTGTTACTAATTGGTTATTCTGTCCTGGTTCACAATTTACATTGTAGTTGATGTAGCTTCAATTGTTCTTTATGTCAGATTTTGAGGAGTTCGGGAATATCCTTATGTATCTTGACATAATTTTATATTTGTACTCTGCACTCGATTTAGCTTCAGTTGTTATTTATGTGTTGCACGCAAAAGGTTCTTTAAGCATTTGGGTGGTTTATTTTTACCTTCTTCCCCACTGAATCTGCTATGTAAATGATGTATGATCCCTATCTTTTGGTGAACTCAAGCCATCAAGAATTAAGCCAATTAGGAATAAATCTGACCAACTAGGTCCATTTGCTATTATCATTATTACTTTTCAGTTTTCATACTTCTGATAATGTTTGCTTTTCTGTCTTCTGTCTTCTCCAAATAATTTTTTGTCTTTCTTGCGGTTTTGTAGAGCCAAAAGTTAATAACAAAATAAATTATGTGGACTAAATGTGGTATACCACTAGAGAACCTGCTTTTTTGTAAAGAAAAATGTTGTCATATATTCAGGAGGTAGTTAAATTAGACTATGAATGCAACTGCTGTTGGATGAATTTTTTCTTATGTGGGCTGACATGTATGTCTCTGGTTACAACGTGCAGTATATTTTTTCAGTTTAGGATTTTGAATGGTCTTTTTTTTTTCCTCCACTTCTCTGTATGAAGGAATGAATACAGGAAGGAGAGCTCTAAAGTTCAAAGGTGGATCTTCTGCTCCACTGAATGCTAGTGCAGCTACCAGAAATTTGAGTAAATGTCACCTTGGAAGCGTAATATTTGGATGTACAAACAGCACCATAAAGGAATGTCTTTCAAAACAGCTCTTTGGTTCGTTATCAACAATTCAATCAAATTTTCTGCTTCTTCTTTTACTTCTTTTACTAGTCTTATCCAATACTCTGTTCTGCTTATAATTTTCCTTCCCTCTTCACTCTATAATTTCTCTCTTGTTATGTTTCAATGTTCTGTCCTATGTTCACTAACAGCTTTATTTTCCATCATATAGGTTTGCCTACTCAACACTTTTCATATGTGAAGAACATTGATCCTGGTTTGCCTTTGTTTCTATTCAACTACAGCAACAGAAAATTGCATGGTATCTTCGAGGCGGCTAGTTATGGTCAGATGAACATTAATCCGTATGGGTGGACTACTGACGGTTCAGAGAGAACACTTTATCCAGCTCAGGTTTTGCATGAAAATGTCCATGCTTGTTCTATTCCTCCTTATTTGCATAATTGTAAAGAGGGACGGAGATATCATTAAAAAAAAAGCTCTTTTCCTCATAGTATCTATTTCTTCATTAGGTTCAAATTCATGTTCGTATGGAGTGTCAACCTTTGTTAGAAAATCAGTTCAAACCTATAATTACGGACAACTATTATGGCCCCAGTCATTTCTGGTTTGAGCTAGATCACGCTCAGACTAATAAGTTGATTTCTTTATTAGCATCTCAAGCAGTGGCTTCACGTGTACCACAATTTACAACGAAGTGGAGGACTTTTTGTACAGGCCTCTCCTCCTTGGAAACAAGTGATGGAAGTGACAAGATCAAACCAGAAATTCTGGAGGAGCACTTTGACCTGGCAAGTCAAGTATCAGACACTGTGGATGTTAATTCCTCATTAGATGCAGGAAACAGAGCATTTGAAGCTCATTTTGATGCAAATTTGGCCAATGAAGAGGAGGAATACCGAATATTCCTTAAACTACAACAACTGGCTACAAATCATCATGAAAGTTCGTTGCCTTTAACAAGTGATACAGAATGTACTACCTCTAATAAGGACACGAATTTGGAGAACAAGGGTAATTCTGGCGAACCAATAGAATCCAAAGACAACAATGAAGAGGATTGTGGTTCTTCTACTGAACTTCAGTCTCTAATGGCTAAGGTAGTTACGGAATGTATATATTTATAGTGTGTTATCTTTCTGGATTACATTGTTTAACCTGTGTTATAATATTTCTTCTCTCTGGTTGTAGTTGGTTCAGGAGATACAAGAGCTAAAGGATTATAAAGCAGAACAAGCTGAGAAAATAGCTTTTTTGGAGACAAAGCTGGTACTTTCTTTTGATTTACTTTCAAAAGTTCACTACAATAAAATCTCCCTTGTGCATGTCTATGCTTTTGGTCATATTAGAAAAATCTGATGTCTTCATGTTTTTTAATCAAAATATAGGTGGGATAATTAGCATATTATGAATATCTTTACAGTAGTACATTGTATGATTGTATTACTGATTTCGAGGAACGGTGCTGTTTTAAATTTTTATTGTTTGTCTCAATCCATTATTTTCTCTTCTGGACCATAAAATAGTGGTTGCTCTCTACATATTATAAGGTACAAGTTATTGATTCTAATTTCTAAAGAATTCTTTAATGTAGGAGATAAATTGTATTCTTTTATTTTTTAAACTTTAAACAAGTGTCTATAAATTCTTGATCTTTTGAGTTTATCTGTACGTCAAAAAACACTCAGATAAAATGATTAAAAATTTAGAAACAAGTTTTCTAATGAAGTTGTTTTGCTGAAGGTTTGCAAGATGATGCATGCTTTTGTGAGGATGAGGGTTGAAAAAACTTGGTACTGCTTGTGTTTTAAGTAATTTGTCTTTTTAACATTGATTCTCTTCATCTCAAATGCCTGTTGTTTATGACCCTTCTACAAAAGATGAAAATGGTTTAAGGGCAGATAACAACCCTTGCTAACTTGTATTATATGATTTATGGGAGAATTTTCAACTTATTTTGGCAGTTGGAGGCAGAAGGAGAAATCCAGGAGTTGAAGAGTCGTATGATGTCGAGTTCTTTGTCAAACTCAAATGCAGTAGAACCAGAGAGGGCAGTTGGGGAGGAACAATTTGAAGACTCATGTTTGGATCCTAATGAATCCATTTTTTTGATTGGAGGATATGATGGTGAATCATGGTTGTCAACTTTGGAATTATATGATCCTTTTAGGGATGTGATTAAATCTCTTAGGCCAATGAGAAATGTACGTTCATATGCTTCTGTTGCATGGTTGAATAGTCAGCTTTACGTTTTTGGTGGTGGTAATGGTTATTCTGCATGGTATAACACAGGTATGAGATTTCACTAATTTTCTAGAATTTCTTAGTTTGTATAACCAAATAATTTCTCACATTTTTATTCTTTGTCGCTGAAGTTGAATCATATAACTTGGAGACTGATCAATGGACCTTGGGCCCTTCTTTAAGTGCGGAAAAGGGAAGCCTGGGAGGAGTTACCATTGGTAACAAATTATTTGCTATTGGCGGTGGAAATGGCATCGAATCCTTCTCAGATGTTGAAATGCTTGACTTAGATCTTGGACGATGGATCTGTACAAGGTCAATGCTACAAAGGGCAAGTGATGTTTTTGGCATGTCTGTCATGTTTATTTTAAGTGTCTGTGATAACTCATGTTTCAGTCAGTTGATTTTGCAAACTAATTCTTCCAAGTGCTGGTTATGACAAACAAATTTGTTTTGAGTTTTCTTTTCTGGTTTAACCTGCCATCGATGACTTATTTGCGGTTGAATTTTATTTGTTAACAATTTCTTTAACTGCTAGATTATTTTCTTCAGCGATTTGCTGTTGCTGCAGTGGAGCTCGATGGCTTGCTTTATGCAACAGGCGGGTTTGATGGCAGCGATTATTTGAAGTAAGATATCATGATTTGTTTTTCTTTTTCTTTCTAGTCATCGGAGATCTCATTCCTTAAAACTGAGTCGGCTTGAAAGATATAACAGTTTTCACGGTCTCTTCCACTTTCTGCATTTTCAGATCTGCTGAAAGATTTGACATCCGAGAACATTCATGGACCCAAATTCCTAGTATGAACGCAAAACGAGGATGCCATTCTTTGGTTGCTTTGAACGATAAACTGTAAGCCATTTCTTTCATTTTATTTCCCATGATATGATATCTTTTCTGCTTCTGTTCAGTATGTAGCTTGTAGTAAGTTCTTTTCTTTCTTTTTATTTTATTTGCTATGGATTACTCTATGGGTCACAATAATATCCTATGAATTTTCTTTCTAAGGTGGTTGTTCCGTGAGAATAATCGAGTAGAAGTTGATTATGGACACTCACAAATAAAAGAAGAAATATATATAGAGGTTATAAGTTCTCGTACCCAGTTGCATTTAATGTTGTATTACTATGTAGTTATGTTATCGGGGGCTTTGATGGAGATTCCATGGTTTCGAGCGTTGAAGTATATGATCCACGTATGGAATCGTGGATCATAGGAGAACCCATGAAAAATTCACGTGGATATGCGGCAGCTGGAGTTATCAACGAATCCATACACGTAATAGGAGGTGTGAGACTTGACGGGACAATTATGGACACTGTAAGTTAATATCTACCATATCTCTTCCTTCTTCAAAGTACATTGCGTTACAGGTTTTTTTTTTTTTTTTAATCCTATTTCAATTGTAATTTAGTCAGTTTTAATGATAGGCTGAGAGTTATAAGGAAGGGCGTGGGTGGCAGGAAAGTAGGTCGAGGGTCCTAAAGAAGAGGTGTTTCCTATCAGCTATTGTTTAACCAACGTCAGAAGACAGAAGCTACGTCTGCACATGCTTGGTATGTTGGTAAACTCCTCTTTTGTTCATTACTGCAACGCCCTAGACAGTGCTGCAAAAGTTTCTTCTGATTAGAAAACCAAAAACTACCCTTTTTTTTCGTGAATATAATTACGGATCCCATACACAAATTCGTTGAGAACAAACAAAGAAGTGAAACTCAGTTCTTACGCTCCATTTTTTTTTAATTGAGCTTAGAACTACTATTTTTAACTATGTATTCATTTGCAGCTTTTTAGAACCTTATTCAAGATCTAAGCCAAATTTTGGCAACTAAAAAAAAAAGTTTTTAATTTTTTTTTTTAATTTAGCTGACCGTTAAAATGTGTTTTGAAGACATGTGAAATACATCATAATTTTTTTTGTGAAGGTTGGTTCAATAAGAATTTCAACAGATGAGTAAAGTAGCATAAAAACTCATTTTTTAAAAGGGCGGAATGGATCATCAATCAAGGGTAGGAATTTCTCCAATCGGAATACTTTTTTCATAAGAATTGCAGAACAAGTAATTTAAGCAACAGTAAACCAGCGTTTAGAGAGTGATACCACCCTGCAAAAGTAGGGGGAAAGCTATAGGCATCTATAGAAAGATTAGCAAAGATCTACCCTCATCACTAATTATCATTAAAATGACCCCTTGAAGGGTTAGAGATGAAAATTATATTAAATTAATTCAATAGTCCTTAGGAACAAATATTGAATTGTTATCAATAAAAAGTTGCAAACAATTTTCAAGGAAGTTTGATTCCCATCATCGCATTTGATGTACTAAAAGAAAAAAAATCATATTTTTATATTCAGTTATTCTATTAGCCTATATCATTACTCGATTAAAATGAGAATACTTCAAAAACCTTATTTATTTACAGATCACCGATATGATTATATATAAAGAAAAGGTTTGAAATTTGCATCATAAAAGAAATGTCCAAATAAAAGGTTCAAACTGAGAAACAATCACTTGAATTGCCGAGAAAAATTAAATTCTCTCTTAGGAAACAAGAATCTCTTTTACTTTATTTCATTTTTTCAGTTGTAGGCTATTTTAATCATATACAGAGGTTTTGAAATAACACAGTAAAATTTAAGTAGCATTTAAAGAATGACATCCGCCAGATAATAAAGCATGCTAACAAATTCTGAGATAATACCTAGGTCAAAATGTTACACTAAATAACAAATTCAACGTTATGATCAACCTTTATTGATCATAGAAAGATACACTTCCTTCTCTTTGCAAATGTATGCCAGATCACGTCTCGGACCTCCATGTCCATGACGTTTACTAACTTCAGCACTCTCGAAACAACATTCAAGTCCTATACAAATCCTAGCTATAAAAGAAGAAGCTTTTGGGGTTCTATAGAATGGAACAACATATGTAAATTCTCTAACCTCGTCACAACCTCCAAAGACAGGGAAATCCAAAAAAACAAACTGACTTGTCATGCCATCCATACTGATTCGAACCCACAACTTCCTCTCGCTTAGAACATTGTGTAGGATAATTTGGCAAGGAATACCAACAGGCAATCCTGGAACAAAATGGAGGGGTTTTTCATAGTCATTATCTAGAATGAATAATTCTGCCTTGATGTGCTTAAGTTTTCCAGAAAATTCTAAATGGTTTAGGGTGAAGGATTGCAGCAACTTTCTAAAATCAAATAAATTGTAAGAAGCTTTAGGAGTTACGGTGCCTAGGCTGGACAATGCCTTTTGGGCTTCAAATACAAAAGTCGATGGCTCAAAAGATCCTTCTTTAAGGAGATGCTCTATGTCGGAAGCTATGATAGACAGCTTTCTCAGAGTCATGAGATGACACCATACTTCTCCATTATACAACCTGAGTGTATAAGTTACCAACATCAATTCTAAGATATGCAGTTCTTCTTCTTTAGAGAATCCAATGAACCTACTCCTCAACTCTTTCAGCCCCCTTTCTAGCTTTCCTAATAGGAGTTCCCATTCTCCAATTTTACGAAGACAATTAAGTTTTGCAGACATCAAATTCCATACCTTTGCTACCAGTTTTATTATCTTAAGATACTGTAATGTAAAGGCTAAAGCGCCACTAGATGTGTCTGATCCATGCGTGAATGTTCCCAAAGCTTCCTTGCAAAACCTACAACCCCAAGAAAATGAGGAAGTTAGACCAAAGAGTATTCTTTTTTTTTCTTTCTTTTTTTGATATGAAACAAGAATATATTGAAACAAAAGAGGCTACAGCCCAGGGCCTGGGTATGGGAAACCCCTTCCTAACAAAAGACTAATGAAGAGTAGCCTTTAAATCTAGGATAATCATGGGTAAGCTATAATTACCAAAAAAAGAGTTTCTGTAATTGATACACTAAATAGAAGCATTGAGTTGTAAACCATGGTAAAAATAATGATAAGGAGAAGGTTTGTTGTTTACCAGTGATAGGGGTGAGAAGTAAAGAAAAAAATTATGAAGTTACATTTTCTGGAATTATGGTTAGATAAAAGCAGGCCTCATTTATCGAAAATTGGTGACACTTTTCATTGATATTGATGGAGGATACAAAAGAATGTACCAACCAAGCGAAGACAAACATTACCCCAATTAACTTACATAACTGAAAAAGAACCCCAACAAGAGTTGGATAAACTCCACTATAGCAATCAAAAGGCACGATAAAATTTAGCTAGTTCAGAAACTTCCATCTCTCCTCTCTTTCGCCTTTTCGTTAAATACTGTTGTTTCTATCCAACCAGGTAAAAGAACAAAATTGTACTAGCTCAAAATTTCTAGGAGAATCATATTATTTATATTTTAAAAAGAAGCATTTACTTTATCAGCACAGGACTGCTCTCCTACTCGTTTCTAAGAAAAGCTTAATAGTGTTGCCATAGGATAACAACAATTCATTAAACGTATAACCTCAAAAGTAATTAAACAAAGAACTAATGTACAAACCTCAGAGTCCTTAAAACTTGATGCAAAAATCCTGATTGTATTAATGGCCAAATATCTTGCACTTTAGACAGGACAGTCTTGATAGATTCTATGGTATCATCATGTTTGTGCTGTTGCTCATTTATCATTGCAGTTGTCCTAAGGGAGACAAGTATATCATTGATTGAACCTCCAGGTGTAGGTGAGCACGGGCTCCCCTCTGGATTAAGCACAAGATCAGATGATCCAATGTTTTTACAGTTTTCCAGCAAGTAAGCAAAAAAGGTGCTTTGATCCATAATGTCGCCCAAAGCATGAGAGATCTTCCCAAGCAATGTAACTGCATAGGAAAATAATCTTGACGGAATCCTAAGGGTATGATCATCCAAAACAGGAGCTGAAATAGCTAGAACGATATATGCAGTCACCTTCACACTATCAAATCCAAGTTCTCCTTCAGATGTTGGATCTATCTGAAGAAAACGACCAGTTCAGAGAGTAAACATTTACCATCATCATTCATTGACCTTCACGAGTTAGCTTTCTAGTTTCTACGAATAATCATAAAGGATTGAAAAATAAAGGTGCCCCACATCCGCACACAGTAAATTTTGAATTTAATTTTCAAATTCTACTGAAAACTTCATTAAGCCATAATGGCTGAAAACTAATCCTCGATGAACCTCCCAGGTCTGTTTCACACGGTTCGTCATTAGTTTCTTTTTTGATATAAAGAGAGAGATATTTGAATTAGACTAGAAATTTAATCGAGAAACTATGCTAGTGACTAGATTCTAGTGTCATTCAATTTGAAAGTTAAGACAGGGCACTACAACAATGAGTCAATGTCTAGCCCAAATTTGAATGATTTCATTATACTGTTAGATGAGTCCAGAAATACCATATAGGAAAGTGAAGCAAGCTAACCTGTTTAAAAACCCCCTGGATAATGGAGGCAGCCATATTTACATGATTCTGACCCATATGAAACAGCACGGAGAGCACACCAGACTCGTCCTAGCAAGTACCGAAGTGAGATTAGCAAGTCAATAAGATTGATGATATGGACTCTTTTCTAAAATAGAAAGGACATAGTAAGTAACAAGGAAATCAAAAACTTCTACTAATTAGCGTTTTTCCCAAAGGATGCATATAGGAATATATATATCATCCTCCAAAAATGGTATTCAATAAGTAAAAAGAATCTCTAGACATTATACACAATAACATAAACGAAGAAAGAATACAAGGAAAGGGTCGGGGGAGGATAATACCTGCGCGTATGATTCTAAACTTTTGAGAAGACCATTAAATGACAATTGAAATGTCTCCAAATCTGGAAGCTTCACTAATTTAAGAAGTTTCCTTAAAGCAGATCTTACATGACCATTACTGTCACTTAAAGCACCGAGAAACTGCAAAGTGAACCAAGTGTTGATATAAGAATAATATGAGTCAAATTATAGATATTTATCTTTAAAATCCTATCTCAAATATAGAGATGCTAATATTGGGCCTCTAGATGACTTAATGTACAGTGAACAGCATAGTATGATATAGTACAGTTCAAACTTTAAATAGTAAACTACTAAAGATACAAAAATTTTATCAACATATAATCAGAACCTTAGACTGCTATCATTGAACACCTATTCCGAGTAATTGAAATACTTCAAAACATAGAATAAGGATTAATTGTACCATGTGCATATGCGCTTCTTGCAATTTCAAACACTTGGACATTGCCATGTGATGTAATGTTTCCAAAGCTTGCAAGCGAACAGAAACTGAATCATCATTCAGGACGTCCATCAATAAGTTTAAGGCCTCCCCAGCAAATTTAGTTGATAGGATGGGTAAATTATACAAAGCATCACAGGCAGACTTTCGCACCTTGAGATTAAGAAAGAGTGTCAATACCATAATCACCTTTATTTGTAAACATGTTCACACAATGAAGAGTATATATTATTCACTCGTACAAAAAAAAGTGATTTAGTAGACAAAACTTCAATCTGTAAAGTTTCTATTCATTTCTTAAATTGTCTTTTTTTACCTCTAGGTTAAGGCAGTGATTGTCCACTTAAAAACATGTAAGGCTTCAATTTAATAAGATAATACATTTGAAGGAGGGTACTCCGACCTGTTATGGTATTGGTATGGTGCTTAAACAAGCAAGCTGCAACAATGGTCAACAAAGACCACATGGCATAAAACATGAAGAAACTACTCGCTTAAAATTGGAAATGAAAAATGCGTCAAGGAGAGATGACTTATTACAAGGATGGTGAAGAGCAGAAAATTTTCTAATCCATGATATTGAAAAATTGGAGTATATTTCAATTAAACATATACGTTAATATTAGTTACCTGATAGAATTCATCTTCCACGCCATGCACAAAAGCTCCCGCAACATCCAACGCCAACATTTCCAATTGTTCGGTAGAGCATTGAACAAGAGGCTTTTTTCCCTTGAAGATACCCAAGACTTTCTTGGACACACTTTGTAAAAGAATATCCTCGGAGACAATTTCCAATTTTTTTATTGCATCAAACGCATTAACCCTGACCTTCATGCTCATATCTCTTGTCATGGAACAAAGCTGCAATTACCGATATATAAGTACCAGAAGAGGTGCATTGTACAAGATCAATAATCGAAGCACTCACTTTAAGACACAATGCAAGGAAAGCACTTCCTAAAGTTCAGTTGGCATGGGAAAATGATGATCACTTCCTTAACGTTCTCCTAAGTGTGACCTGTCCACATGCAAACACTATTCAAAGTGGAAAGCTTTAAACACTAAACATGAGAACTGAGAGAGAGGGAAAATCAAAGCGCATCTAAAGTGGCTTACAACCAAGGAAGTTGAACACCTAAGGCAAAACTAATCCACCACTAGAGACAAGAAGAAATGTTATCCTGAGACTACCAAGGACTAGTTCCAGGTAAGTTAGCCCAATCTTCACATCACAGTAATGGTATCCAAACATTTTTTCCAATATGAAAGGTAAGAGTTACGTGAATATTGTAAAAAAATGAAAACCAATTTGTTAACTCTGAATTCTTCAGATACTTTTCTTTTCCAATCTTTCTTAATAAGAAACCAAATTCGTCAAATCAATGAAATACAGAAGCTTAAATGGAATGGATAATCTCAACCAAACATCCAGAAATCTAGCGTTGCAATAATGATAAATTAGAGTAAAAGAATAAAACAGGCCAATAGACAGACAGAAGACGATTTTCCAGATGACAATCAATCTAACTTGAGTTAAGAAGAAAAAAATGATGGAGCAATCTAATTATATATATGAATGATATCTGAAATTCTAGTTAAGGACGATACCTTAAACCGAGAATGATAAGTTTTTCAATGAATGAATTTCAATAATCTAGATAAATCAACAGCATATTGAATTAAAACTTACATTAATGAATATTTCATCAGACAAATATCGTTTCCTCTCTGGACTATGCGCGGCAAGCATTAGACCCCATGTGATGACCTGGAACAGTCGTCGAGAGCTATTATTGATAAAGGAACTTGATATTCTGTAAATACGAGTAACTTGATCACAGTAATGAAACAACTAAGTCTACTAACTAGAATTCGTCATCAAGTCATCAAACACCTATGTATAAATAAAATAATGGACTGTAAATCTCAAGGAACAGCAACTTACTACCAAATCGAAATTACTTTCATCACATTTTTGTGTTGTAAAAGAAAAGAAACGATGAAGTATCTGCAAAACGAGTATCTTACAACGCGTACTGCAGCCGATCTAACACAATCCTCCATGTCGTTTAGAAGCTCAATAGCACGGTAATAGCAACCTTCAATCATCCCGCCGTCCTCGAAGACATTGTTCCCCAAACCTACTAGGCCATCGAGAGCAGCTATTCTAACATATGGATACGGATCCTTGGTAAACCCTAGGAAAACAGTGAATAACAGCGACGGCCTTATTTGGAACCTCTCGGCGTTATTGAGAAGCCAAGTCCTGATGGACACTGAAGGACCAAAGCAAAGCGAGAGGAATGATCCATCGTCGAGTTCGTCAATGGCAGAAACAAGTTCTCGATCCCGCTCCGCCATTGATGCAATGGAACAAATATTAAAAAATATAGCGATTGATCGCCGTCTAGGTTCGTCGATGCGAAGTAAAGGTAAACAGCCTGAAATCGAGCTTGGCTTGGTTCTCAAATCAGGCACAATGAAAACGGATTTGGTTGTGGTATCTTAGGTTTAGAACCGAGATTATAGCATTCTGTGGATTCTATGGCGGCGAAAAGTGAGAAACAGAAGAAGGGAATTGCAGAACTTGGAAAGCATGCGATGGAGCGGGGTTTGGCGGGAGAGAGTGAACTGCAACTGCGAGTCTTCAAGCGCCACCGTGAGTGGATTTAGGTATTTCTTTCTTCCTTTGAAAATTTTGTATTATTTCACTTTAGCCCCTGTTCTCAAATAGTTTAATTCTGAATTGGATTTTTAGATATACTTAATTTTGTTCGTTTGCTATTGAAATATATACTAATTATTTACCTAATGAATAAGGAGGAATAACTCGACGGTAATTGACATATACCTCTAATTAATATGACGTTTTTTTTAGGATTATAGACTAAAATATTTGCTCCAAAATTTATACGCTAAAATAATGTACTCAAAGTTTTTTCTAGTAAAACATGTAGGGTGGAAGATTGAAATCATAACCTACTATTTGAAAATAGGTTATGAAAATACATGCACCTATTTTCGCTATGATAATAATGTATTCAAATTATTATTATTATTATTATTATTATTATTATTATTATTATTATTTGGAAAGGGAATGTCTTCAAAATTGATGGAGCATCACATAATAATTTTGATGTTTGATATATCAAAATAAGATTTATATCTTGAACACAACTTTTTGTTTCATATATAATCCCTGTTACGAAAGCAACCCGTTCATGGATGACATAATAAGATTTTCATTAAATATATTGTATTTAAATGTCAAGTCTACCACGTGGAGAGTAATTTCACAAATTTCGCATGGTATTTGGTCAGGTCAAATACATATGAGTTGCTTTGCTATTAAGGAAAAATAAGTTTGCCTTCCCAATAGAGAGAGGCCGAAATTTTGAAATATTAAAATGCACGAGACTAAGGTAAATGTATAAGTATGACAAAATTTTTAATTTTTAATCCTACAAGTTATATAAAAGTTCACCATCAATTCTTAATTTTATTAAACAAGACCACAAATTTAAATAAATTTGTTACAATTTTTACATTATAGTCAAATTCTACTAATTTACCTATTAATTTTAACGAAAAATATGTTATTTCAAATTTTATTCGAACAAAAAAGAAATAAAATATAAAAAATTGTAGCATTTTAAAATATATGCTCTTTTGCCATGGAAGAAATAAAATAAAAATAGATAAAATATCAAAAGAAATTAAACACCTTCTAGAGTCGGAGACGAATGCAATGTCAAGTTTAATGTGATATTTAAAGTTAATTTTTAAAATTTTTTCAGTACAACAATTTTTTAAATTTAAAATACAATTTATTTTAAAAAAGATTTAAGATGCAATTGGGAATTTAAGGTAAATTTTGATAATTTTTTTATTTTTATTTTGTTTAGTCAAATTATTTTCCATTAATTAAAAATAAGGAAGAAAACGAGAATGTAGTGAAAATAAAAAGATGAGTCTGACCGTTGGTTGAGCCATCAAATCAAATTGTATGGACGGTCAGGATCAGGAACAGAGAATAGAGCTTCCGTCCATCCGCGTTTCTCTCGAATATTCATCGGTAGGAGAAGAGGTCTCTGCATCGTCAGTTTTCTTCTCGCCCCTTTCCTTCTTAATATTCATTCCCCCTTTTGACTCAATTACACGAGACGCACCATTCTTCCTTCACAAATCTCTCTCTCTCACCTCCGATTTCCATAGCCTCAAGATCCACCGACAATGTCTTCATCTCCGGCCATACTTCCCATCTCCAATCCTCAATCCACCGCCACCGTCGCCGCCGCCTCGGGCGGTTCTGTCCAATCTCAAGGCCCTGTCACCACTCCGGCCTTCCGCGTCTTC